GCTTTAGGCTGAACATATAGGTGCAAATTTGAGGACAGATGATCCCATAACCTGCAAGATTGTACATAAATTCATGGTGTTGTCAGAGGAAATGCATGGTACATGAAAAGGAAATGAAACAGGAAAGGTTCAGGTGAACGAAGATAACCAGGATACAAATGCATCATTGTCATCGCCTAAAAAAACCTGTAGCTCCTTGGCAGCCTCATCCTTGCGTCTTCCATTTCTTAGCAACACTACAACATACTCCTGAGCAACAACAATATTTAGATAGATAATCAATAATAATGGGTTATGGATTTGCTACAGCAAGAAAAGAACAACCCTAATACCAACAATATGTCCATCACACTATTGAAAACTGAAAGAAAGCAACCAGGTACTTTAACCTCCACTCCGGACACGCCAGAGGTGCTAAAAGGTGCACAACAATCCAAACACACTTCCTTCAAAATCACTGCGTAGTTGATTGCATGGGCAGCCAAATGTCAGCTATCCCCACTACACAATCCAACCAATATCTAAAACGTGGGGTGGGGGATCGTGTGCCTCCAATCTCCAGAGCATATGAACCACGCTAAACCCCATAACATGCCCACAGCCTATACGATCCTAAAGGAAAGCAATACCCAATGTCCGATTCGAAACGAGATTCCGCAAAATCCAGAGAGCCGCGCGCGCGCCGCCCGCCGCCCGCTACGGAACCGCATTCCACAGATGGGCATGTGCGACGCTAGGGTTTTAGCAACGGATCGGGTATCGCGCCGCGGTATGGGAGTGGGAGAGGGAAGGAGGGGGCGCTCACGGCAAGGGTGTCGTCGGAGTAGTCGCCCATGAGCTCCCTGAGCTTCTCCTTGACGCGGTCCTGCAGCATCGTCACCCCCTCGCCGGTGAAGTTCGCCTTGAACGTCCGATCCTCGCCGCCGTCCATGGTGGAACCCTAGCGCCACAGCCCCCACAGTTTGAGGCGGCGAACGTGGCCGCGTCGTACGGTCGCGTACGAGGCTGAGGCGGATACGGCGGGGAAGGGCGGCGCCCGAACGCCAGCGGCGTCGGGTTCTGGACTCCTCTCTGGAGTTTGGACCGTCGCGGGGACGGTCCCTTGTGCGGTGCGGCCGTGCGCGTGTGGGGAGAGAAGGGAGGTTGCTTGCTTTGGTGAAGTTCTCTCGTGCGATTTTGGGCCTGATCCCTGGACGAACTGATGCGGCGCACGCGCGTACGGCGGCATCCGGGCGGGTCCGGTCGCGGGCCAGCGGGCTCGCCCGGTTTGATAACTGGCAGTGCCTTGGGCTACGGCAAACGAGATTTGTCAGGCCAGGCCAGGCCAGCGGTTCCGGAGATGGGTTTCCCTTAGTTTAGCGGGCCGGCCGGGGCCAATGCATCTATGCGGGGCTCATCATGGACGCGCAATTGTTTCCCACGGGCCTAGACACGCCTGAACGTGTAAACGGTCCAACCCGTCCGGCCCGACAAGACAAAAAGAAACTATGTCGCAAAAAAAGACTCATTTTTGTGCGAAACCAAAATATTGTTCGCTGGTTTAAAAAAAAATCGTTCGCTTCATGAAAACCAGCAAGGTTGTTCTCGCAAATAGCAGGAACACGTAGCTTGGTTTACTGCAACACTATTAATCGACTGACTTAGCGTTGTTACTGACAAAATGTACGCAGAATTCCATCACGAAACGACTTTCCGTCGATGCCAAAAAAAAAAAAACATTTAGTCCCGGTTTTAAATTCCAAACCGAGACTAAAGAAGTTATGGGACCTTTAGTCACAGTTTGTAATATAGATCGGGACTAAATTCCACCCTTAAGTTGGTTTGTAACGGTTATCGAGACGTGTCAGTGTTAGAAGCTTTAATCCCGATTTGAAACACGAACCTGAATTAAAAGTGTGACTTTAGTCTTGGTTTGAGACACGAACCCAGACTAAAGGTATCTTTAATTCCGGTTTGTGTCTCAGACCCGGACTAAAGGTGCCTTCAGAGTGAATTTAAAAGGAAAGCGTATCTTATCTAAGTCAGATGTGTGGTGGAAGTTGAGATGCAACGCGCGCAAGGGCTAGTGGGAGATCTTGAGTTCGAATCTCCACATCCACATCTTTAGTCCCGGTTGCTAGTCCTAGTTCTGGCTACTAGTGCATGATATAACATATTTTTATATTTGTTTGTTATATTTTCCTTGCCATAACATTGTTAGTATATGTTTGATGTTTGATATCTTTTTCTTGCCACGATCATTTTTCATATGCGTGTAATATCTTTTACGGAAATGCTATACAACAACCGGGTGTTTTATTACCCGGTGGCACACGATTTTTTTTGTCGCGGAACCAAGACGTCGTCGCGCTTTGCGCCCTTCTTGCATGCGTCGTCGGCTGTGGCCTTTGCTTGCCGTTACTACTGCCGCGCTCATTGCCGCCGCCGCCGCCCATCATCATTTCGCCCGTCTCAGCGCCCCGCCATTGCCGCCCGGCATCTTCCTCAAGTCCGGCGAGCTTCTTCTCCAACTCCGGCGCCACCACCAAATTTGTCCATGTCCTTTTATAGAAAAAAAAATTGTTACTTATGATTTGTTACTTGTGATTTGTGATTTGTGCTAAAGAGAAAGAGAAGAAAGGAGGAAGATGAACAATATCTATGAGAAAAAAATTCAAATGTTATCAGGTGCTAAAACACCTAGATGTTAGATAGACAAGCTCTATCTTTTATCCTTTCAAGCGAGCCAATACCAAAGTCTGCTCTATTCACGAACAGAAGTTTTTTTTGAAGTACCACCAAAGTGCAACCTATTCACGCAAAAGTTTTTTTTTTGAAGTACTGCTAATCATTAACCTTAGAAGCAAGAAAACATTAGAAATAAAAACATCACGTTACAAATAAATATCCAATCATGCATATTATAACAAAAGTACATAAATGTAAGATATCAAACATCTACTAAATAAAAGACAATAGCTTTTATGATGTTAGGACCTTTTTGTAGATAATATTTTTCGTGTATGTACCATTAATCGTTGTGTTCTTTATCTTCTTCTTACAATCAACTGGGATGACAAGTGGTACAAACGACCATGAGACAACAATGGTTCAGGTAAATACACAGCAGTATTAGGGATAGTCTGTCTTTGTGCCTTTGTGACCGTCATGGCAATGCGGAGACTAACGTGAAACTTCTCTTAAATTGAAATGAAAACACCCCGTCGTCAAAGGGGCATAAGGGTGTACGTGGTACCAAATTTCGCTTTCTAGTATGGCCCCACCACAAATTCCGCATCGATGGTATTTTGTCAGAACCCCAAACCACTAGTCTCGTTCTGTTTCAAAGTTTGTTCACAAGATCGATGTTAGTAAGCAATATGATCGGCACCCCATTTTAAGCTTTGACACGTGGGGAGGAAGCCTGTTGGGAGTCAAAAACTCGGATGGGTAGTAGTTATGTGGATCATCCACCGTACCATCAAAGCTATGATACACCGTTTTCATCGACAACTCGTTAATCGGCTATAGCTCCGCTATAACCCACTATTTAAAACACTAGCTCGGGCTAATTAGCTGGAGTTGCCTAACGACTTGTTGTAAGTTTGGCTAAAAATTAGCCCTTTTTTTTCTTGCCCCTAGACTAGAGTTAAAATTAGCTGACTAATAACCATTAGATCTATGTGTAATTCATCGCGCGTGCAGCCGTGCAGGGGAGACGAGATACATGCGGTGTGGTTGTGTTGCCATCCACCTTCTTGGGCACAGTTCGTGCTAGCATTGACCTCCGATCAACCCCTGTGCTGCCTAGCTCTTGGTGGCAAGAGCTCCTAGCCAGAATCCACGAACAATCCAACGGCGTCCACAAGTTCAGAATCGACTTTACAAAAGCGCACGATCATGCGGCCCGTGAACCCCCAACCAAATGCTCGTCTCTGCGAGGAAGAACCACCAGATCGCGTCCAGGACCGCAGTGGCAGCAGCAATGCACTGGTTTCGTTGCTAGTTGCTACGCCGTGCCGATATGCAAAAGGCACCAGCCTTTCTACGGGCCTACTAGAAGCTTTTACCGCAAGTTGCAACTGGGAGGCCAGCATGGTACCTACTGTGAACTTGCCGACTTGCTCAGTGCATTAGCACTCTGACAGCTTTTGCTCGAGTGACAAGATTAAGGACGCCCCGGTACACTCGTTTGTCTCTGTGGAAGTCAAATTAGTTTTATTTTTATTTTTATTTAATACGTACATCAAAAGCTGCACATGCAGCGAAAAAACGACGTTTTGGAGGAGAAATAGCCTGAAAATTTGAAAAAAAGATCGAGTGACAAGATTAAGGACGCCCCGGTACACTCGTGCCAACTGCCAAGTCAAATCCGTTGCTTTGTACGTACATAGCTGCACATACAGCGCAAAACGATTACAGGAGAAATAGCCTGAAAATTTAAAAAAAAAAAGATCGCCTGACCAGTTTACCTGGGAGATGATCACTGCTTGTTTGGAGTTGTTTAGCTTATAAGTCATAGCTGAAAGTATCGTTGGCTAATTTGGTATGAGAGAAAAATATTGTTCGTTGGCTGATAAGCTAAGCTTATAAGCCAGAGGCGTGCAGATGTTTTCGGCTGTGATGACCAACCCTCCACTAACCTTTTCAGCTTTCGCGAGTGCCTGTCCCTCCCCACTTCCCCACCAGTCCACCACCAGCAGGCCTGGTGCCTCTCACCTTTGTGAGAAAAAAGGACTCTGTCCAAGTCCGTTTAACCTTGCTGCAAGTTGCATTAGCTTAGAAGCGAGACCAATCTCGTGTATATAAGCGAGACATGGCTTCGATCGGGCTCTGCAAGAAGCTAGCTGCTGCTGACTCACAAGATGACACGAGAAGAGTACGTAGTTCTTCCTGCCATTTGAGCAGTTGAGCTGGAGCGACCTGGAGGGCGCGTGACCTCGGAGCAGAGAAGAAAGAGCTAGCTAGCGGCGGCACCGAGGAGTGAGAGGTTGGCTTCTCTTCTTTGGCAGTAGTTCTCTATGTGGGGCGGCGTGCTGTCGCTGGTGCGGCAAGGCCTGCGGCGCCGGACGAGGCGGCGGACGACCGCGCGGGTGGTGGACGAGAGCGCGCTCGGCGAAGCCGCGGATGCCACGGCCGTTGGCGACGTGGCGGCGCGCGGAGGTGCCCCCGCGCCCGGCGCCCAGCTGGGCAGGGCGGTCCTGGCGATGGCGCGGGGCGCCGTGCGCCTTGACTTCGAGGGAGGCCGCGGCGCGGAGGAGGCGTGGGCGGCGGCGAGCGGGTGGCGCCCGGCACGTGCGGTCGACGAGGTCGGCCACCTCATGGTGCGCGAGAGCCTGCGCTACGTCATCTACGCGTGACGCTGACTGCGCTCTCGCTCTCTCTCGCTCGCCGTGCACGTGCTGACGTGCATGTGTATGCGCAGGAGCAGACGTACGGTCCATGTAACCATTGCTCGTGCCGTGATTAACCGTATCTTGCAGCAGTAGTTACATACTCCTATATGTAATGTACAGACTGTCGTCGCCATCAAGTTATTCTGCTGTGTGCATGATTACTGATTCCGTAGTTCTTTCGTGGTTGGATGCGCGTGACACGATATAATAACTGAACCGACCCAAACCGGCCTTGGTTCGTCAGCTTCGGTCGCTTGGATTAATCGAGTCCCCCTTCTCCCCGGCCGGTGAACGTTGGCATTGGCAATTGGAACCGCCGAAATCTGAGCACCGTACCCGAGCGAGCATGCAGCAGGGCCGTATATATTGTTCGTGTTCGTGCGGCTGACTTTGCACGAGGATGGCACGTAGTGGAATACGGAGCTGACGGCGAAGGCGAAGAAATGGCCAAGAATCTCCCTCGTCGGCGCCTCCACGGCAAGACCGTGGCCCGTGGCTCGCGTACACAAGCTGCCAGTGAGCAAGTTGCTCGACGTTTTACAGGAAACCGAAAAGACGATGACGGGGCTCACAAGGATGAAGTGTCAGTTTTCTTCGCCGCCAATTGTCGGGTCCGGCCGGTTGGACCCGAACACAGTGCCGATCATCTTTTTGTTTCTGCGGCGTGGAGTAGTTTCCAATTAGTCATTTAATATTAGTTTGCCTAATAATGTTTGATAATTATAGGTACGCTTTGAATTTTATAGACATAATTTTTGCTATGCATCTGGATATACGACATTTTAGTATGTTGCTAGATATATCATATCGTATATCTAGGTGTATAACAACTCTTTTGCTAGCTCGTTTAAAAAACCGTCAATGCTCTGGTGATGACTTATGTCTGGGCGTGTCCGTTCGAACGCCCCGTTTTTTAGGCTGCGCAGCGACCGGGCCCAACCAACAACCCTCCTCCATCTATACACTGCGACAGCCGATTGAAATTCCTAACTCCCCACTCGCTTCGCTCGTCGCGGCTCACCGCGCCATCCGGCCCAAGCCACCTCGCCGCCACGTGGCGCCCCTACTCCGCGTTGCTCCACGCCCCCGCTCCGCCTCGCTGCACCCCATCCCCCGATGCGCCGTGCCTCGTCCCCTGCAGCTGTGCACCATGCCCCGTCCCCCGCCACGTCGAGGTGCCGCCGCCGCCCCCCGCCGATGGAGGAGATTCGTATGACGCCGCCCCGTTGGCGAGTTGCTCGCACCGGCGAGTTCATGCGCCGTCATCGAGCTCCGCAACGACAAGCCTCTATTCCTCCAAGCTGCAAGGTGATATTGCGCTAAAAGCGCATGTTGCAAACGTATATTTCAAATGTTTTAGATATTTCATCTGGATGTTGCATAAGTTTTATTTGGATGTTGCAAAAGTAGATTAGGATGTTGCACATGTTGCAATAGCCATACACGTATGTTGCAAGTGTATGTTCCAAATGTTTCATCTATTTTTTTAGACGCATGTTGCAAAGATATTTATTTGGATGTTATATATGTTTCACACATATGTTACAAGTGTTTTATCTAGATGTTGTATATGTTTTGCAATGGTTTTTTATGTGTTTTTGCAAGTGTTTTAGACGCATGTTTCAAGTGTTTCATCTATCTACAGATGTATGTTACAAATATTTCATGTGGATGTTTCAAAAGTAAATCCGGTGTTGCACATATTACAATGGCGCCGGTGGTTGGTGAACAGCGACCTGCCGCAGGGCTTTGGCTCCTACCTCGCGTGGCACGTCTCGCCCTCTTCTCTCCTCCCCTCTGTCTCCCCTCCCCTCCCATCCCTTTTCTCCATCTTGCCTCGGCATTGGCATTGGCGTTGGGGTGAGGGTCATCGAGGGTGCTACGTTCGAAAGCAGGCGCTGACGTGAGATGAGATGCAGGGTGCGGAGGCATGAGATGTGATGCGGCGTAGGTACGGAAGCAGCGTCCGGACGAGTCCTGCAGCTAGACATCCGAGCGCAACACATTGTTAAAAGTTTTTGTCAACTCTTTAAGCATCTTCGCGACTTCAAATAAAAATCTCCTAAACCCTCTAGCATGTCACATCTTGTCACGCCGATGTATACGACATAGCAAACCACGCAACATGTGCCGATGTGCCTGGTGCGACCAAAAGATTAAATTGGTCCTATCTACCCCGGCAAAACGATCGTACGCGAGAGAGCCTGAAAATCCTGCGCTAGTTGCTGGCTGGTGCACAGCTGTTGTTTTCGGCTGTGACCATCCCTCTTCCACTAACCTTAAGCCTTTTCAGCTTTAGCGAGTGCTCGTCCCTCTCCCAGCAGCACCCCACCATGCGTTGTGCCTTTCATGTGTGCCGGTAGCTTACAAGTGAGATCAATCCGATAACACGACATACCTTCCATGGAGGCCAGCTTTCCCATAGGCCATATGTTCTCGCGAGTCCGTTGACACACAAGCGAACATGACGTGTGTTGGCATGTATATGTGTGATCTTAGGACGCAGAGGAGAGAGGGCCAAAAGGAAAATTGGTTTCTTGGCAGTTCAGCGATCTTGTGTCGCTGATCTGATCTTCCTGGCTTCCTATGTCTATGTCGGTTGTCGGACGTGCTGTCGCTTGTGCGGCAAGGGCGCAAGGCCTACGGCGGCCGCGTCGGCGGCGGACTGCGCGGTGGTCGACTAGAGCGCGCTCGGCAACGGTACGGACGCGATATCCTGCAACGTGGCGCGCGGGCACGCGCCGGCGCCTGGCGCCCTCGCCAGCCGCAGCGCCCCTGTCGGTGGCGTCATGGCGTGTGGCGCCGTCCGCACCTGCGGCGAGGATGCCGGCGGCGCGGAGGTAGCATGGGCGTCGGCGGCGAGCGGCTGGCGGAAACTGACTTTCTGCTGGTAAAAGTTAGTCCCATGAAGCCGAAAGGAGTAATTGACATGTTCTTCTGCTGGAGAATTTGGTCCCCTGTCCCATTTTCTGCTCCATGCTCCGTTCGAAACTTAGGGCCCGTTCGGCTTACTTTATAATCTGTACTATTCAATTTATTTTTTCAGTTGGAACAGTATTTTTCTCTCACAATAATTCAGCTAGAACCGTGTTTTTCAGCAAAGTTTCAGTAAGTCGAACGGGGCCTTAGCAGCTAGCACATGGATAGTCACGCTCAGGGGCGGATCGGGGGTGGTGTTTACAGCTGGTGCATCCATAGAAATATAGGGAGGGTGTGTGTGTGGAGGGGGGGCTACAGCTGGTGCATCAATGGAAATATGAGGAGGGTGAGGGTGAAGAAGAGGTGAAAGAAAGAAGAAAAATGGAGAGAGAGGAAGAAAAAGAGACCAACCCCTGCATCCGCCACTTGTCACGCTTGATTTCGCGAGACAGTCAGATCAGTTCTCAGATCATACCAACAACAAAGCAATGGCGCCCTACCGCGCGACAGCTGCACTGCTGCAGATCAAACAATCAAGTCAGAGGAACGACTGCAAACAGCAAGCCCGGCTCTGCTGGCACTGGCCATGCATCCTTCCCGCCGCCCCGAAGGGATTACATGGGGGCCATGGCTCATGGCAGGTTAATGGCCAAGTTGCTGACCTTTTGTGAGTGAGGAAAAGAAGATGACGGAGATCACACAAGTAAAAAAAGAGGATAGGATTTTACCCACCACAAAAGGGACCAGGCGCAAACCGACCATCTCCTTATCACGTGCATGTGGCTGTCTGTCCATCACTGTGCTTATCATGAACAATACTGGTGATAAGATCCGAACCAGATTTGCAGGTCGTTTTCGGCAATCGAAAGATGGGTCATGACTGGACTAGTTGCAGATCGAGGTCCTGGTAGCCTGGTAGGCCAAGGCGCCTAGGCCTCTGGTTGCCATGGAGTCATGGACATCATGCAATGCCATCCAATACCGGCATAGGTTGTGGCGATGAGTCTCCTCTGCAGTTGAATCACTGATTCACTGCTGGTAGAGTGGCAGGTGGGTCCGATTATAATGAGGCCTACCTAAACTCAACTGTAAGTTCAGGCAAGCAAGCTCTGGGTAAACGACCTGGATGAGAGCATGCCAACTTAACGTGGCCTCCGAATCAGCAGACTGTAGGATTGCAGGGGCAAAAATCGTCACACTGAACCCCGATGCCTAAAGAAGAACTAACTCATCGACACTGTATGCCAACTTAACAAGTGCCAGGTCAGGAATACCAGCAGCTGCATAGTACGGTGCACATGAAAGAACACACCTATTGAGGTTAGTAAGAGATCACAAGTCCATCCGGAAACACATCCATCCGACCATTTTTTTTGTCTCACTTTTCATATTTCTCAGCCGTTCAGAACAGAGCAGTCACGGGCTCACGGCTCATAGGATCAGACAAATTGCATACAACAATGCAATCTGAGTTGCTTACACATGACCATAGCATTTTCTTTGTGAGGACATGGTCAATAGCCTTGAGAAGAAGAAATGGAGAGTACATTACCCATCCCACATATATGTACCGAAACGTCAGTAGGGACAGCTCACACAGAAGTGTCATATGCATTCCGCGCAAGCCCCTAGATGCAAATTCACTGAACAAATGAACTACTGCTACAGGTGGGGAAGAATATCTGATTAGTAGATCGGCGCTCCAGCTCAAGCGACAGTATAAATAAGGGTGGCCTGCTACTGATTAGTAGATCGGCGCTCCAGCTCAAGCGACAAGGGTGGCCTGCATTGCAAGCTCAGACTAGGGAACGCCAAGCGCAAAGCATTGCCAGTGTGACGAGGACTGGAATGTAAGGAGCACAGGCATGCGTCCTGCTCCCGGGTGATTGTGTTGGAGCTGTACTGCTGTTTGATCTGGCAGGAGGCAAAGGCGGCTGTGCCACGTCTGACTCAATCAAGGGCGGAATGGGAGCCAATGCTGGTGGCTGCGCACTCTTGCTGATGCTTTGCATGAGATCACCGGGATGAGCAGGGGCCATGAAATT